ACACCCCCCCATCATCCAGTTTATCCAGAAGAGGAGATGCTACGGCCTCACAAGCTGCCAAGGGTGGTCTTTTGTGGGTTGAGGAGTTCCCACAAATGCCATTTCTGGGCTACGAACACACACCACACCTTCGTGATGGGGTCTCCAAACGGCCCCCATCTTCCAGTTTTGGCAGTCCCCCAGCTACCCCACCTACTGTGTGCATGGCGAAGCTCAGTGTCCATTCATGGTGAGAGAATGAGAGGCTTGGGAAGACACTAACACAACAGTCAAGCCCAAGGGCCGTTCGCTTGGGCCAGCATCCAACCGTCGGGGAATTCAGAAAGAAACAGATCGCCCCTCTTGGATGCCTACTGAAAAACAAAATGTCCACTGGTCACAACAACACAGGGGTGTGGTGGTGGAGGTGGAGGTGGCGGTGGCGGAAGGGTCAAGATCAGGAAGGGGTTGACTGGTCACATCATGCAGTCCAAACGGCACATCTCTGTACATGGTGGGACTGCGCAGGACAGCTCCGGCGGCAGAGCCGACCAAGGACACGCCTGGCCTTAGACCGGGGTGGTTCGTCTGTTGGCTGGGTTGTTGTGCAAAGAGTCCTTGAATTCTTTGGGGAGGGAGTTGTGGATCTGTAGAAACCCATGGTCTCTCTCTGAGTTGAGCAGGGTCCCCAGCGTCACCTTGGAAGGATCCCTGGAGAGGGTGAACATGGAGATGTCGGTGGACGGGATGGTGCGGAAGCCTTGCCCCAACGGAGACAGGTCCCTTGACCTCGGCTCGGTGGAGCGGGAACTGGATCTCCGCCGGAAACGGTAGCGGTACGTCGGCAAGCGGGGGAACGCGGACTTCTTCAGCAGCGCCACCGAGTGAGATTTGGCACGAACCTGGCGGTGCTTCTCAATGTACATGTGGACGGCGATCACCCCCACCATCTCGGCAATAATGAACGACAAGGCTCCGAAGTAGAAAGACCAGCCGTAAGAGTAGCTTTTCTTGGAGTCGCTCTGCCCAGGGTCCCCGGCATTTGCTGAGATGTAGACTATAATCCCGATGATGTTGCTCAGGCCTGATGAGAAGAAACAGAAAACAGGTCTCAGGGATACTGGCCCTGACCCAAAGAGGTCAATGTGCCCAAAGGTGGGCCAGTTGGGTTTACTCTCTCTCTCTCTCTCTCTCTCTCTCTCTCTATAATCCCGATGATGTTGCTCAGGCCTGACGAGAAGAAACAGAAAACAGGTCTCAGGTAACAACCGGAAAGCATTCTCTCCGAGTCCAGAGCAGTCACAGATTTTTTGGGGGGGATATTTATAGATTGGGGAGCTCATTGTCTCTGTCCCTCTCAGTTGGCTATCCACGCTTGCCCTCTTAGGTCCACTTCTTGGAGAAAGGAGTGAACTGGCAAGATTTCTCAAGAGGCAGAGCACTCTTTGAGTTTGAGCATTATGTGCCGCCAAGTCAGAGCCCACTCATGGCAACCCCACGAGGGTGTTCAAGGTAAGGGAGAGTTTTAAAGAGCTCTTTGACCGGTTCCATTCCCGGCCCCCCATGATTCCTGGGGCCAAGCAGGAAATCGAACCCAGAGCTCCAGAGCCCCTCTCTCTCTCTCTCTCTCTCTCAAGGCTTTAACTACTCCTACACATTGGGATTATCATAGAAATTATGCACATACGCATGTAAGAAGAACCGGAAAGCGTTCTCTCAGAGTCCAGAGTAGTCACAGATTTTGGGGGGGGGGGATTTATAGATTGGGGAGCTCATTGTCTCTGTCCCTCTCAGTTGGCTATCCACGCTTGCCCTCTTTGGTCCACTTCTTGGAGAAAGGAGTGAACAGGCAAGATTTCTCAAGAGGCAGACCACACTTTGAGTTTGAGCATTATGTGCCGCTAAGTCAGAGCCCACTCACGGCAACCTCACGAGGGTGTTCAAGGTAAGGGAGAGTTTTAACGAGCTCTTTGACCGGTTCCATTCCCCCCTCCCATGATTCCTGGGGCCAAGGAGGAAATCGAACCCAGAGCTCCAGAGCCGTGCTCCGTCCCTCTGCCCACTGCACCCCCTTGGAGACACCTAGATCTTGCTTTCACAATCCCCCGGGGCCCAAGGGGTCCAGTAAGGAAGAGACCAAGGCTGCTCCTTTGGACTGGAAGCTACGGGAACACGCAATAGAGGCGCACCATTTTTGTGAGATTAGGCAGAAAGAGTAGAAGAGAGAGAGAGAGACACACACAGAGAGCACAGTCAGGTTCAGGATCCTGACACGCTGTTAGGCTTTCTGAAACCTCTGTTCCCATCATCTCCCTCCTCAAGTACCAACCACTGCTTTTTTCAGCGCCTCCCCATTTTTGCAGGAATCCTGCTAAGCAGTGTTTGGACCAGGATGAGCCGTTCCTGCACCCTTCTGCACCATCAGCAGCCATCCCTCCCTCGAAGCGTCTTCCAGCAATTGGCAGAGCTGAGCCTTGAGCCGCAGGCCGAGGACCCTGATGCTGTCATCTCCCCGTGGAGCAGGATCGTCTTTCTCCACGTGCCACCAAATATTGAGAAAGCTTCTGCATCAGGAGAGCAGATCCCACACGGGAGGAGGATCTGCTCTCCTGATGCAGATCCTCCTCATTTACAAAAGAGGGAACAAAACTCTGCCTGTGCAAAAAGGTCCCGAGGGGGCGGGGGGGAGAATCAGATGTTTAAAACTGCTAGAAGATGGAGCCATCTGCTTTAGGAGCCCTCCTGCTTAATGTGATCTAATTTATACGTCTCCGGGTACTTACTCTGTGGCTGGGGGAAAGGCGTTGACCTTCGAGGGAACCGAAGGCCCTTCATCATTAGTGATTCAAATTGGTCCTGAAATTGCATTGCTCCAGGACTGAAACTTAGGACAAATTGAACTCTTACACATTCTGAGGAAACTGGGATGAGGCATGTGTGTGCGCATGCATGCATGCATGATGTCCAGCTTCAGCTGCAGAGTCTTGCTTTGGAAACGGATGCCAGGGGAGGGCTTTCCCTTCCAGAGGGGAGCCTTGTGGCACAGTGGTTAAAACCGCAGCACTGCAACAAAGACTCTGCTAACAACCTGAGTTTGATCCTGGGCACAGGTAGTTGACCCAACTTTCTATCCTTCCAGAGTTGGTACATTGAATACCAGATCAGCGAGGTGGCATGTGATGTGGAGCCTGCATAATTAAAATGGTGAACCACCCTGAGAGAGCTTTAAGCACTATGGGGCAGTACAGAAAGAGCAGACTTTGCCCCCCCCTTTTTTTTGCAAAAACATAAAATGTTGCCTTTGTGGGATTTTCTAAGCAGTAAAATGAACTTGCAAATATTTTCTTGGCGGTCCTGTCTAGTCCCCGAACAGTTCATCTGCTATCTTCAAACTTCTGTCACATAGAAGATTCAGTGCTTTGAAACGTTATTGTGTGCTGCACAGTTTTCTTTAATGCTCTGCTTGAGCAAATGCACAGCAAAAATAAAAAGGAAATAATCTTTCCCCTGTACGGATTTTCTGGGTGTATGTGTTGTTCTGTGCTGTCAAGTCAGAACTGACATAGAGTGACCCTAATGAAGTTTTCAGATGTAAGCGAGGCATTTAAGGAGTGGTTGTATCAATTCCGGACACTCTCCACCACCTGACTCCCATGAATTTCCATGGCTGAGCGGGGATTCAAACCTAGGTCTCCTGAGTCTTTGTCCATCGCTGTGCCCACAGCACCACACCGGGTACTTGCATTGGGGTGTGTGTATATATAATTCCAGAACGGTTGCTTTTAATCTCCTCTTTCCTCCTCTGGACCAACGGCCTCACATTGCATGGTGGTCTTGCTGCAGGAGCCGAGCGCAGCGATGCCGCTCGTGACTCTGGAGCCAGCACTTTCCACACAGGTCTTGAGGCCAGACCAACCTGTGGGATTTGCAGGGATTTGCAGCACAGAGGACGGCTTCAGCTGCCTGCACGTAGCAAGGCGACCGAATCCCTGAGACACGTTCTGTTCACGAGCCCCCGGCTCTGTGGGTTATTTTCTCATCAGGGCTCAGCTGCAGAAAGGATAACAATTATCCCTTTATATAGGGTGCAGCATGTGGGGAAAGAGACAAAAGAAGATTCCATCATAAAAGAGCACGTGATGGCGTCAGGAAGTGAGTGATTTCGGAGCCTTTGATTCTCAAGGAAAGGTTCTGTTTCCTCCCCAGATGGCTCCGCTCCCAGGTGCCGGCTGAACAATTCTGGATGTTACTGGTCTCAAATTGCGGCTTCGGTTGCCATTCTCATTTTTGTCACAGGGGCTCACCTATTTTTCTACTGTGAATGTGTGTTCCTGTTCAGGAGCGTCTTTGACCTTTTTAAAAATTCTGTTGTGCTCTCTTGGTTGAGATTGGATGGAAAAGCGCCTTATTGATTCCTGGGAAATCATGGCAGGAAGCATGCATTAGGAAGGTGGCCAGCGGGAGGCACCAGGTACTCACCGGCTGACACGAAGAAGATTCCTGCGCTTAAGATGACGTTGAGTTTGCTCTTGTAAAACTCGCTGGCTGCCACACACAGTCCTCCGAAGAAGAGAAGACCAACGCTTAAGATGGGGAAAATGCTGGATGCCCTCACTGCTCCTGGACAAGGAAGAGGAAATGGCTCATGAAACAGGTTCCCCTGTATCTGACCAGCCCCCAGAGATATCCATTTGTTCATTTAAAATATTTCTGTCTCTCCTTTCTCCTTAAAAAGGACCCAAGCAAAAAAAACTGTTCTGCATTCAGGCCTCTGTCTACAGCTAACAACCTGGGCAACACCTTAGAACCCGCCCCCCCTCCCAACCTTCAAATGTTCTTCTGACTATTGATGACATTTTAAAGGATGAACCACTTTAGGGTTCAGACTTTTTAAAAAAAACACAGAGAAGATGTTGATCATGCTGGCCCAGATAAAGATAAGAAGGTAGGAATTGGCCACTGTGATAAAGATGGGGCATCAGAAGGACCCAGACGCTCAGGAGAGATCCAGATCGTCCGGGTTAGCAAATGTGATTTCAGCCCTTAAATGCTGACTGTTCCATTATGTTCCGGTGAAAGGGTTTGCTAGTCAGAACTGTTTCCCTTGCACATAGGAATGGGTGTGTGCGTGTGTGAAGGGAAAACAGAGAGAGAGAGAGGAGCACCCAATAATGACAAACTTACGCAGGAGATACTCGGCCGCATCCTGATCGTAATCTGCATCTTCGGGAAAATGATTGATTTGCTTACAGATACCTCGAAGCGTCCCTGAGGAATAAGAGAAAAAAAAAGAGGGGATGTGTGAAGAGCCATGCAGCTGGATCAGACCTTTGCTTGTCTCACCCCACACAGTCTCTGAAAAACACAGCAGGAGGAGCGCCGATGCCAAGCCCCGTCAGAGGGCTAGACCCCCCCCCGGTCTCCTCCACCTTTCCTTCTTCTGTGCCCTGTGATATTCACCCACCTTCTCAAACAGGGGCCTCCTCTCCGACACACCTTGACAGCCCTCCCTGAAGTCTCAACCCAGGTTTTGAGCAGCATTGCTCCTGTGGGGTTGCTGGACAAGCCCTCTGTGGAGGATGAGCCGGAAAGAACCGCTTCCCTCCCCCACTGCCTCTGAGCCTGACCTGGAGGAGGGACCGCTGGGTCTCCCAGGTCTTGAACCCTCAGGGATCCAGGAGGCTCAACCCTCAAAGGAAGAGGTCTCCGTGGTGGCCGAGACTGGGCCGCCTCCCGCTTCCCGGGAACGCTGCCGGATGAAGGCATCAACCTAGCTGGAGACTCCCACGGAACAGCTCAGCTCAGAGGAAAAATCAGTTTGGGAAGAGGAAATCTCCTTGAGGAAAAGCCCTTCCTCCCAGGGAGGTCGCCTCCTGCAGCTGACTTCCTTTCCCAGATGACCAAACGGTGAGGATTCAGCAGCTCGGATTTATAAACCTGATCCTTAGCCTGGAAACAAACTCTCTTCTTTATCTGATCTTGCCTTGCCCATATCCTGGCCCTTGTTGCCAACTCCTTCGCTGTGTATGATGCTCTGGACCCAACTGGATCATGCTTCTTCGGCTCTCCCTCTTTCCCATGGTGACTCTTGGGCTGGCGTGGTTTTGGATTGCTGCAATGTTTCAGCAGTGGGGCAGAGAAAACAAGTAGGAAGCTGGCCAACTAACCCATGCAAATATTGATGGAAGCAGGGTGGGCACAGCACGGAAGTAATTGGCTACAAATAATATAATTCCCTTTAAAAGTTTCACGTCCTCTGTGTGAAGAGCAAAGTAACAAGTAGTTACAAAGTTATTTTTAAATGTAATCTTTAAAGTGTGTTTTAAGGAATTTTAGCAGCATTTTGGCAGGAGTTTTCCAAACTTTATTCTATTCTTGTTAATCCTATGTGGCAAAAGAACCGTTCCTTTGTTTTATCCTTAGTGTTCTTACAAAGAGTCCTCAAGTGCAGTATCATAGCTGGACTCTAGGTGGAACCAGAGTGTATCCCTCTGTATTTTTCTGGCCTGTTGGTATGGATACTGTATGGGTAAAAATGTAACTGAAAGAATTACTTGCACAATCAAAGCAATAGTAACAGCAACTTGGCTACCAATAAGTAACTTGTAACACAATTTGTTCCTTTTGAAATGTAGCACTATATACTCTGGATAGACACAGTCCCCTTCCCTCCTGCAATGCCTCAAACTGGAAAACTGGCTTTTCTCCCAGCAGGAAAAACAAAAACAAAAAAACCCAAACTTCAGGGCAGAGAAGGCTGCTAGGTAAAGTGGATGGAGCATAATTGAGGTTTGAAGCTGTTAGGCATTTAAAAAGAAAAGCATGCTATGATCTTTGGTACTACCTGGGGGGAGGGGAACACACCAAAAGAACAGTGGCTGATCCAAAGTGAAGCATAACTATTTTAAAAAATATTTTACCGGCACTGGTTTTTAAGGAAATTAGAAAAATTATTGGATGCAATATTAAGATATTGCCAAGTATTGCCCTCCTGGATATAACTAAGAATGTCCATTTGAAAAAAGATCAGAAAGAGTTAGTAGTTAGAATGGTTACCATAGCAAGATTAATATTCGCAAAGAATTGGAAAAGTGACAAACAAATTAACCTTGAAGATTGGTATAAAGAAATGTGCAGTTTAGCAATTAATTTTAAGTTAACGTGTGAAATGAAAATAAGAGGAATGATAAAGTTTAATGATTTCAAAGATGCATAGAATCTATTCTTGAAAATATGTATTTTCGAAGAGGGAAGGCTAGCAGAAGAATCAATGTATTTTTTGGAGAGGAATGGGATGAAAATTTGTAAAATGATATTATTAGTTTCCTAGTCCCGAGGGTGGAGTGGGCACAGGTGGGGAAGGTTTAATTTGTATTGTGTATAGGAGAAGGGGACGACAGAGGATGAGATGGTTGGACAGTGTCACCGAAGCGACCAACATGAATTTCACCCAACTCCGGGAGGCAGTGGAAGGCAGGAGGGCCTGGCGTGCTCTCTGGTCCGTGGGGTCATGAAGAGTCGGACATGACTTAACGACTAAACAAAAAAAATAGGTTTTTTGGTTGGACACGACTTAACAAATAAACAAAAAAATTAGGTTTTTTTGTACTGAATATGTATTTTGTTAGTTTTGTTATTTGTTATTTTCCTTTAATAATTTTAAAAAATGTTTCACCAACAGGATGTCTCGCCATACGTACAAGATTTTAACATCTTGATCGGCCCCATTGAGCACAGATTGAGTGTCTATATTGTTTGGACTTACGAAGGCATTCTGAACATTCACCCTGCACTATATAGAGCAAAGCTCGGGAGATAAAGGTTTCAACTGACCCAGCCAGTTCTCCAAAAGAGCCTCATAGATGACAAAGATTTGGAACTACTTGTGCATTTATTTCAGTGGGTTCAACAGACCGTGTGCTTCCTGGTTATCCGAATCATTGGCTGGTCTATAGGACGACGTCATTGTCGTTGTGATGTGGCCTTAACCCTGATCTCTGAACCAATAGGTTTTAGACGTGTTTCACGTGGAGCACAACAGTTTTGTTCACCCACAATGTTTCTGATCCCATTCTCCACCTCCCCCAACCCCATTAACGTGTGATGATGACGAAGTAGGTAATCTCTCCAAGCATTTGTGATGAGGCAGTTTGTAAGCTGTACAAATAAATCTTCCCGCTCCTCCTGTTTACCTCTTCCGAAATGCTTGGAGAGAAAATTACAGTGCCAGAACATAATATGACTTGTGGGTGGGGGAGGTCTCTTTAGTTTCATGGGATTTTTTAAAAATTTATTTTATTTCAAGGGTAAAGGGAAATAACTCGGGGAGAATCTATTATTTTCAGGATCTTTGAGAAAGGCAATCATTTCCATCACGGAATCATAAGCTGATCGTTTGACACATGCGGATGTGGGATAAAGAGTTCTCAGTCCTGAGACAATGTAGGCAGCGTTTAAAGCATTTGGAGTGTTAAACTCATTACATAAATCCTTGCGTTCCCTTTAACATCTTGGCACCTCTGCCGAAAACCGTCTGAAATAGCATCTCCCGCTTCCGAAGGACTCGGCTGGCTCAGCGGCATCTTGCATTTTCCTTTAGGATTCAGCTCAGTTCCCTTGAATTCACACGGCCTGCCCAGACCCAGAAAGGGTCTCCCGCTCCCAGGGTAGCTGCTGTCCTGACATCGGGTCCAGGGAGGCAGCAAGCCCAGTTAAAGAGCCAAGCCGGCTTTGGGAAGCTGCTGCGGCAGCTCGTCACGAGCGGATGAGCCCGCGTTTGCAGGCTGTGCTGCCCAAACGGAGGCGCCTTACTCACGATGGCCTGAGATGGCGAGCGGGTGATGCAACTCCTGGACGAGAGGCTTCTTTGGAGAAGAGTCACGTCCTCCTGCAGGGGCAGCGATGCCCACTCGGGCACACAGCGCTCTCCCCTGTTTCTCACGTGCAAAGGGGCAGCATGGCATCCCGGGGCCCTTGGCGGAGTGAGAGGTTTATTTGGCCCTGGATTTCTTGGAATGCAGCCCTGTCCGTGTCTGCCTTCCCCAAAACTTCATTCCCAGTGAAATTTGTCAGACAAGGCTTTTGGTGGATTTTTAAATTGATTTCTTTGCTGCTCCAGACTCTCACAGCTGGCCTCTTGACCCTTTCCTTAGATCATTGACCCTCTGGATCAGTCAAGCTCTTGCTCCTGCAATACCCCAGACATTTGCTAGGCTGTCAGGGGCTGGTGGGGGCTGAAGTCCAAAAGGCCTGGAAAGCCGCAGGTGGAGAACGGCTGCTGTGGAGGGCAAGGGTTCCCCACGGGTTTTGGGGGAGACTCGCTGGGATCCAGGCGTCCTGCCGCCTTCCCTCACACCACAATAGAAAACATCTCAAGCCACTGAGAGCAGGGGCCAGCACGGGGGCCTCGTAGCAAAGGTTGCTTGTTTGAAGATTGAGAATTAATCCCCAAAGTGCTTGACCTTTCGGGCACCCCAGAAATCTGTCTCAGGCCAGACAGTAAAAACAAACAAACGGAAAGCAACTGGGAAAGAGTAAGAAAGCAATGCATGGCAGGCACGGAAAGCTGAAAGACACGCTCCATGGCTAGAGGGAGTTGATCTCAGTCCAGACCGCTAGGCTGGGAGCACGACCCCAGCAAAGGCCACAAGGAGGTAGCCATCCCGCTTCTCTGGAGACACACAAAGAGGGTAAAAGTGTTTGAGCCTCTCTCCCTAGACAAAAGGCGGAGGCTTGGTTGATGCAACTGGTGTTTATGATGATGTTGCCACCATGCCTCCGTCTGCTGGACTGCTTTTGGTACAGGTCATACCCTTGCATCTCTGTACTGCCCTCCATGTGGCTGGAGAGGTTGCAGGGAGCCCCGGATAACAACAACACACGAGTGACACCACCTTTCGGCCAGCGCTCAACAGACCTCAATCTGGCTTGGAACACCTTAGCAGCCCACGGCGCATCCTGACCTTAAGGGTGCCTTGGCCGTGGGAGGGGCAGGATGGGCAGAAGCCTCTTTAGCTGGCAAAGCTCCCCTCGTGCTGGAAGAATTCCCCTCTGGCCGGCCAATCTCAGAGGTCTGCTGGAAAAGAGATCGACCAGCAGACGCTCTCAGCCGGTCAAGTTCTTCCAGCAGAAGGGCCAAAAGCGTGGAGGAGAGATGAGGGCAGAAAGCGGGAGAGAAGATGAGTTAGGCCAGACCTACATGTTTTCCCCACCAGAAAGGCAGCCGTCATCCCGACACAGAAATGGGGTAGGGGGAGGAAAATCCTGAGGAATTTCCAGCATCGCTGGGCTAGGAGATGTTTCGATTCATCCCAGCTTCAGCTGGCTGAGTGTCTGCTCTGCTCTGCTGGCCCTTGGCCCATTGGGCTACTTAAGGTGGCCGTCTCAATGTGTTTGGGTCCTAAGGGACTGTAGCGAGGCTGGGGCTCCCCCCCAGGCCAAGGTTTGCTCCTCCAAGTTGAGCCGCCCTTTGCATCTGCCCTCTGACTCACAAGCAGGGAGGCACAGGGGAGCCCGTCAGGGCCCTGATGCTTCCTGACATGCCCTTTCAATCACTCTGGATCTGAGGAAGGGGCAGGGCTTCTGCCTGTGACTCCCTCCCAGGTCCTTTCCAAGCTACGACGGTTGCCAGCTGTCAAAGGAAGGCATGTTGCAAGAGCTGGGGGCTGTCAAACCACAGAAAAATTATTGGAATAATGAATGGACATCTCCACCTTGCTCTGGACTTGACAGCAGAGACGGCGCTAGCAGCTGCCGCATCTAGGATGGGATTTGCACCCAGAAAAGACCCCCCAGGGCAGACATTTCAAAGGGAGGTACTTGTGATCAAGCAGACACACAAGAGCATTGTGTCCCACACACAGAGGGACCCCAGATGCCATGCTTAAAGCCAGGACAGAAAAAAAAAGAGGTCTCAAGGAGACTGAATGTCCTGTAAGTTTAATAGCCAAAGAAATGAGGTGCCTTCTTTGCTCCCGCACCCACTTCCACCTAAGGTGTCAACTGCTCCTGACAACACATACACACTCTGCTGTGGGCTCTGCCCCATGTGCAGAGGTGTTGACCTGGTCCAATGCCCTTTGGCCACCAGAGCACAGCCTAGCCAGTCCCTCCATCTGCTGGGCAGCTCCTGAATTTGGAATCAGGAGATCTAATCCTTCCTCTTCCTGTTACTTCCTGTACAGAGCTTCTCCCCTCAGCTGCCACGGTGATCATCCCAGTGGGTGCCCACCCCACCCCACCCCAGATCACGCACACCCCACATCAAGCCTCCCCTCCCCTTGTACAGATCAGTGGTGGATACTTCAGTGGGCGTTGCATGGCCTCCGTGTATGTTCTGCTGATCCTCCTCTCTAGTTTGGCCCATGACATCTGCAGAGGGATGATGAGGCTGGAGACTCATGTCAGGAACCTGGCAGAACCCAGAGGTAGGAAATGTGACCCCAACCATGTAAGAAGGCAGGCCAGGGTTCTGTGGATTTTTAAATGCATTTTTGTTACAAACTTCCAGCTAAGAGAAATCCAGACTATGGCAGTCCTGGTGTTTCCTTGAAGGGGCTGGACGGGATGGTCCATAGGGTCCCTTCCAGCTCTTCCGTTCTAAGATGATGATGATGGATTGTGCCAATCAAAATGATTACATTCAATCTTCCACTTGTCTTCAGAGACAAACCCAGAACTGTGGAAGCCAAAGGCTTCGGGACCAATGCCTTCCTTCTCTCGTCTCTCTCCTTCCATATCCTTTGCCTGGATGAAGAGGAGGACGCGCGGATGCCCGAGTAGCAGTGATTTTGAGCCCAAGGCAGGGAGAAGGGGACGGACAGCACAGGGCACCAAGGGTGAAGGGCCAAGGATGGAGAGGAGCTCCGAGCGAGGCAGAGGCACCCCCATCCTTGCTCCTTCCGCTCTCCCCACTGACCGCCCGCCCACCCACTCTCCTCGTTAAGCCTATGGGGCGTCTTCTCATTTGCAGTTTTGATTGGCACAATCCATCAGCACGCAAGGCACCAAGTCAACCAGGCAGGTCCTCCCCTGGATGGCCAGAAACTCTGTTCTGCAACAACTGAGAAGAGGAAGGAGGGAAGGAAGGGAGAAGCCTGGGCTGGGAGCACACCCTTTAACAATGGAAAGGCCCTTCTCTTGCTGCTAGACAAGGCGTTGTGTCTCCCTGAAAAGGGTGGAGGAAGTGTGCATGCATGCATGTGAGTGTGTGTGTGTGTGTGTAGTGCAAATTCATTGGTCTGAAACGATGAGGTGGGCACCTGGGGGACGTTTCCTGCCTGCAAGTAATGCCCACTCTGTGGATCGGGTGCGTGCGTGCGTGGGTGCTCCTCTTGCTGCCCATCATGAGACTCTGGGCCCATTTTATCTTCTGACATTTATCTTGGATTAAAATTTTTTAAAGCCCCTTCATTCTATTCATTAAAACCCTAAGATAGTTCCCATGGCAACCACAGCATCACATGACTTCCAGATATATTCTCAGACTTTGAAGGAAACACCAGAAGATAATACTTAAGCAAAGAAAAAGAGTCTAGAGCAATCCTCGAACTCAGTAAAGGCTCAGGAAAAACACACACTCCGCTGCTTCACCTCTTGCTCCACTTTGCCAAAACAGAATGAGACCCCCAGGCACCTCTCCCCCACCCCCTAGAGAAGGCGCCATATCAGTCTCCAGCGCACCCTGGAAGCGACGGATAAGGGGAGCCTGCCCCTCCATCAGATCCTTCTCACCCCACCTTGCCTGAGGTACAGAATGAGTAAAGCAACTCCCCAAACATAAATTATGCCACATTTTGTGCCCATTGGTCGCTACAACTGAGTTTCGATGAATGCCGTCCTTGGACAATTTATCCTGCCAACTTTACTGGCGGAGTTGCCTTTTAACATCCTTCCTGCCTGCCTCCCCATTTGGGTTGACGTTTTTCCGTCTTGAGCCCTTCATTGGGTTTCCCATCCCGAGCAGGTTGTTCAAAGGGAGTCAGTTCTCACACGAACCTTCCCCTTCTGCTGTGGGGCTGAAGGCCAGCCAGGCGCTCAGATTGGACCAGAGGCGGGAGAGCGAGCAGGGAGCTCAGAGGGTTCAGGACCCTGGACAGCCCTCTCTCTCTCTCTCTCTCTCTCTCCCCCTCCAGGGAGGGCGTGAGCAGAACTGAGGTTGCTGTTTCTCCCCCCCTCTTTTGGGGAGGGGGGTACAGGAGTCTTCCACTGGAAGACCTGCGAGAGCACAATCCTCTTCTGGAAGGTCTCCTTCGTGTCAAGGACTGCCCGTTCCAACCAAGCCTGATTTACAAATAGAGATCTAAGGAGGAAGGAAATAGTCCCCCCCCCCCATGTTCCATCATCCTTGAACAGCCGCTGGACAGGCAGCTACACTGGCGGCCCCCCCCCCCATGTTCCATCATCCTTGAACAGCCACTGGACAGGCAGCTACACTGGCAGAGGAGTCAGCCGGTCTGCCTTATCTGCCTAAATGAATTTCTAGTCCTGTAAAAATCATATATCTCATTTTGCCGCCTATGCCATGTTACGTGCTGTCAAATCAGAACTGACTTATAGAGAGCTGAATACGGCTTTCAGGGTAAATGAGATATTTAAATGAGTGGTTTTACCAGTTCCATTTCATTAGTGAGTTTCCATGGCCAAGCAGAGATTTGAAGCCAGGCCTCCTGAGTCTTAGTCTGTCATTCTGTCCACTACACCACGATCAATGCCTTGCCACCTATATATATATATATACATGTGTGCAATTTTACACCCATCCAGGTCCTCTTTTCTCCACTCTTTTGATGCTGCAAAAGTGACCACCTGCCTGTATGAGGCCAATAATCTCAAAGCCAATAGCATCCTAGAGAGCTCCCTTTGCTCATCCGTGCAAATGCACTTGTGATCCTCAGGGATCACAGCCACAGAGGGAGGTTTTCTGAATGGGCAGCAAGCTCTCAACCATCCTAGGAAAACTCAGGTTCAGATACAATGCATTGATTTGGGACCAGGAAGTAAAGACAATATTGAAAACTTAAAAGACTGAGGATGCAAATGTATCACAAGAAACTCTTCCCACCTGTAACTTTTCTTAAAAGGCATGTGTGTGCGTGCGTGTGCGTGCGTGTGCGCTTGTGTGTAGGAGTCTACATTTGAACTCTGTAACTTTTCTTAAAAGGCATGTGTGTGTGCGTGTGCGTGCGTGTGCACTTGTGTGTAGGAGTCTACATTTGAACCGTGAATCATGCTCCCATCCTGGAACCTGTGGGATAATTACAACCTACAGAAAGTTTAGGAAAAAAAACTGAACGCAATTCTCATTCTAGATTTCAGAAGGAGCTTAGCAAGAGATAGCAAGGGGTGCGGGGGGTGGGGGGGTGGGTGTCATTTTTAATCCTTGCTGCTCAAGAAGCTGAGGTGAGTGTCCATCATCTTGAAAAAAAACACCAGCTGCCTTCATCAAGAGAAGGGGTCCATCCTCTCTCAGTTACACTTCTGCCATCTCTCCCCACCACCACCCCCCAAGTTCTTTTGTCAGAACCGAGGAATATTTTGCCGAGGAAAAACAAGGTGCATCAAAAGGTGTGTGCGGCGCAGAGGACAGCTGAGCACCGTCATCCTGCTGGATGTCGGTGAGTGCGAAGACGAGTGTTTTAAATGAGTGCATGTGAGGACAAGGAGCCACCAAATTATTCTCCTTGCTCTATAAGGTGGGGAGAGGTTTTGGGATTCTGTTTGTGCCGATTAAATGAACACATTTGTTCCAACAATACAAGACAAGAGAGGTTAAATCCATGAGAATAAAGCACATAGCGAGCCCTCTCCCCACCCTTAGCGATCAGCCCTGCGCATGGCTTTTTAAATGGCCTTTGGCCCATCCTCTTATGCCTACGTTGGGCTTCCTGGCATGACAGAAGGCTGGCACATGCAGAGATGCTCCATGTGAGGGACCTGAACAGGACCTAGGAAGAGTAAGTGGCCTTGCAGGGCAGCGTCTCCCTCCATGTCATTCTGATTAACGAATGGTTTCATTGTTTGCCCAATTCGGACCCAGCTGTGCTATCAAGAAACACAACAGTCATCTTGGCCCCCTGTTTTCTTTACACCAGCCCTGCAAGGTAGACTAGGCTGAGAGACACAACAACGTGTTGGGGGCAAAGTGGGTTACTGGCTTTGAACTCAGCATTTTTTTCTTCTGGCCAAATTTTGTCTTCTGGCCCTTTCTTGATGAAGTAAAAAAATGTTTTTTTTTTAAAGCTAAAGGTTTGTGGCAAAGTAGCAGCCCATGGAAGAAAAAAAAACTGCTAACAGGATGCATCAAAAGAACCAGCCAGGGTGGAACAAGACAAAGAGAAAGCACCTGGCCTTCACACAGTAATGAAGCAACGACAGGACAGATAGCTGTGAAGGAAGATCAATGATCCAACCAAGAGGGGTTAAAAGGAGGAGGGCAGGATCTGTTCTCCAGCATCCCAGGGTGAATGGGATGGAGTCACACTACAGAAAGCCAGATTTAGACTGAATCCCAGGGGGAAAAAAACCTTCTTAACTGTAAGAGCAGTATGATAATACAGAGCCATGACCTCAGGTGGAGGTGGTGAACGCTCCGATGCTGGAAGCCTGCAAGAGAAAATTGACAACCCTCCTTCCGATCTGCTTTGACCGGGATTCCTGCACTGAGCCTGGGGTTGGGCTCAATGGCCTTAGAGAGACACCCCCCCTTCCAACTCCATGATTCTAGGGTTCTATGAAAAGGGTGCCTGCCAAATGAGAGGCAAGATACTAAAACACACACGAGGTGAAGCTGTCATGAACTGAAGAGCCCAGTCTAATGAAAGGCAGCCAGGCTGGCTTGGCCAATAGCCCCACCAACGGCAAGCCAACCGGGAAGGCAGCCCTACTCGAAAGAAGCAGCGAGTTGCAGAGGTGGAGGATGCACCCCGCCTTCATCAACAGACCTCATGGCGACAGCAGCTGCCACTAAGCTTAGGGATCAGCCAGCCAGGATCCACTTGGCTTTGTGAGAGGCAGCAACGGCAGCATCTGGCTTTCTTGGACAGAAGAAGTGAATTCATGCATGAAGCAAACGGGCATGGAATTCCATCAGAGGGAAGAGGTGGAGAACCAGAGCATGCTGTCTGGCAGCAAAGATGACCGCCGATGCGTCGACCGGGGGGGGGTGACAGAAAGTGGAAGGCGGTAAGAGGCCAGCTGCATTGGGAAGGCGTGTCTGAGCAGTGAGGGGGCACCTCAGCTTCAAGGGGAAGGTGTGCCGTGTTGTCCTGGGGGCGGGTGAAGGGAAGAGAGACCTCCCAGAGTGGCCAGAGTCTACACTAGCTAGTTGTCGCCTCTGGTGGCCTTCCTTCTTGTCCTTGGCTCTCACCTGGAGGACCAGATCTTTCCTTTCTAACTGGCAGGTAAGAGAAAGTTTGACCGCCTGCAGCGCCACCGGAAAAAACAGCCACTTGAGCCGTACTCTCCTCTTGCCCATCGTAACGCATTTTGTGTAAATGGCAACTTCCTTGTTCCCTTAGCAAAGAGTCTCAGTGGGATTACGTTTCCCGAATAAATGGGGTGGTGGTGGCGGCGGTTTCCCTCGGCGAGCTTAGACTTCCAGAGGGCTGAATCCATTCACCCACTCCTGCTGCTGGCTTGCTAGACTCTCCCAGCAGGGGTGCGAACCTGCCGCCCGAAGGCCACACCATCCCGGGGCCAGTTTGCTTCAGAGGGTGGAGGTGGGGATTCCCAAGGGGAAGGAGGGTGGAGGTGGCTCGGGGTGTGGGGGAGACCTCTTCTGAGAGTGATGATTTGGGCAACCAGGAAGGGATCCGATGTGGAGAGAGTGGGAGGGGGTGTGCAAAAATAGACCAGAAAGAAAAGGAGCCGCCTGCCCGGTTTTTGGCTCTTGGCCTGTCCTAGCTGCTGGGTGGCCTCCAGTGGATGATTTCCCAGGATTGGAGCCTTGAGCAGAGAAATGTTTCCCCCAAATTCCTACCATCGGTGTGCAAAGGGTTCTAATTCTTTTTTTAAAACAACTTCCAGTGTGGAGCTCAGACCTCATTTGTGACTCGGAATCTGCCATCATCTGCTTTGATGGACCCCAGCCTTGGCTCATCCAGGTGTTCTTGGACTGCACTTCCCAGAAGCCTTCACCGCCAGCTATGCTGCCCGGGGTTTCTGGGAAATGAAGTCCAAGAACATCTGGGTGACCCAAGGTTGGGAGCCTTTGGTCTCCTTGGGGGGGAGGTCTACACACTCTTCATAAACTGCAGACCGACCTGAAAAAACATCCCTGCAGACACCAAAGTAAAATGAGCCGAAAGTGCACTCATGGTTTTTAAAATCAGGCGCATAGATTTCTTTAGACATTGGGGAGAGCGACGGACGCAGGGGCTGCAGAGAAAGTCAGCCCTCCATGGGTTCAGAGAAGCATTTGCAGAGCTACAGACCCTTCTCCTCTGCCCTATGCAAGCTAGAAATGGGTCCTGACACTCCCTTGTCCCCACCTCATGCTGTGGGCCATGGAGTGGCTTCTTCTCTTTTCACACAAAAAGGCACCCTTGTGCCTCTCTGAACGGCTGGAGGAAAGAGCAAAGCAAAAAGGGAAGCGAGCTACTTCTGTCCTGCCTCACCGTGCTTAAAGCACTCTCTAGTGGGTTACAATTTTAATGATGCAAGCTGCACATTGCGCCCCCCCCTCAAGCAATCTGGGCACTCCATGTACCAGCCTTGAAATAATGGCAGGCAGAGTAAACCTTGAGCCAGCTACCCGGGATTGAGCCCAGGTTGTGAGCAGAGGTTTGACTGCAGTGCTGCAGTTTAAACACTGCACCACTAGGCCCCTGTGTCACATACAAAAGTGCCATTGAGCCCAGGTTGTGAGCAGAGGTTTGACTTCAGTACTGCAGTTTAAACACTGCACCGCTAGGCTCCTGTGCCACATACAAAAGTGCCACATACTAAAGCAGGTGGCCTCCTCTTGCAGGACTGCAAGCAGGGGATCCTGGACTAAGGAAGC